GGCGTGAATAAAACAAGACTACCATGAGTTGATGATATTGAAGCTGGTGAAGGGTATGCTGACCTTCATTATATAATTCTCTCTCTATTAGTAAAAAAATAAAAGCTTGTTAAAAAATTTTAAACATGATATAAATCTTTAGCGTAGGTGAGAGTCCCCATTCTTTAACCTCCCAGGGTTAATTACAATGAACAGTTTAGTATATCCAACCCCTGACCTTCTTTATGCAAATACCGGGTATGTATATTGCAAACACATATTCTTTTATTTTTTTAATGTTTATAGTAGCTTTATTCATAATTGCCCTAAACTGGAAACCCCCGAATATCCTTCAGTGGGTGAACAGATAAACTGCTACATCTATACAATGGAATACTACCCAGCAATAAAAGAAGAAGAAACTGTTGATCCATGCAACAACATGGATGAATTTCCAAGGCATTATGTTAAGCGAAAGAAGAGGACGTTACTCTCTGGTGATTCTCCCATGACTTGTCTTCTCCCAGCACATTATCAAACACATGTTCTTAAAACAGGAATGGACTACCGTTATACATACCACTTCTCCACTAGCTTTTTTTTTTTCTTTCTGGTGGCTAGCTGGTACAGGGACCACTAGCTTTTTAACTTCATAATACTTTGTAGACAATTGGCCATTTCAACACTATCTCAATCTTTAACAGCTTTGCACTATTCTCTTGTATCAAAGAGCCATAACTTATTTATGGCTCCAATTTTCTGCTATAAAGCACAATGACACAGTGAACATCCTTGTACATAATACATCTTTGTGTACCTATGTGAGCAATTTTACAAACTATCTCATAACTTATTTATGGCTCCAATTTTCTGCTATAAAGCACAATGACATAGTGAACATCCTTGTACATAATACATCTTTGTGTACCTATGTGAGCAATTTTACAAACTATCTTTCTAGAAGTGGAATCACTAGGTCAAAGGGGTGCATATTTAAAATTTTAATAGAATGGCTAGATTGCCCTTCTGGTGGACTTTGTAGATCTAATGCTGACATTCTCTCCTGGCACATACCTGAAGACTATCTTCATTTGGTGCCTGCTGTAGAAAAGCATCATGGAGTCACAGCTGGAAGGGGCCTATGAGATCTTTTGGTCTCGCTTCCAGGGTGAGCAACCTGAGCCTCAGGGAAGGGTGGGCCCAGCCCCCCACACTCCCATCAGGGCTGGGCATGCAGCTCTCTCAGCTGGAGGCCGTACAGAACAGTGCTCATGACGATGCTGTCCACGGCTGACTCCCAGTTGTAAACCATTTACTAGCTGTACGACGTTAATAAGGTACTTGACCTCTCTGTGCCTCAGTGTCCTCATCTCTAAGCTGTGGGTAATATTAATCCTGGACTGAAAATTGGGGAGGGCCTAGGAGACGTTTCTTAAAGTTGTATTTGTGTCAATTTAATTAAAGTATATGTTCCTTTGGGGTGGCTTTGGGGGGACTGGTAGAGGATGGAGGGAGGGTACTAAGGGCCCCCATCAGGCACCACCTGGCACTGCCAGAGCTGACTTCAAATGGTAGCAGTTGGGTTTAGTGAAATTGTATGTGATGGATGCCCAGCACTTGCACAGAGCCTGGCACACTGTCAGTGCTCGGTGGCTATGCATCCATCCAAGAGTTGGCATGATGGCTGATGGGCTAGACCAGGACAAGGAAAACTGACCTTTCAGAGAGCTTGGCCAGGAGGGAGAGATCCAAAGAACAGGAAAAGATGGGATCCAAGAGAGGTGGCCTAGCCTAGCCCATCACTTGTTATTATAAATAAAACTTTATATATAAGGAACACAGTCACTCTTGTTCATGTATGTATCATCTGTGAACACTTCCACACAACAATGGCAGAGTTGAGTAGTTGCAACAGAAACCCTATGGCCTGAAAGGCCTATCTGGCCCTTTACAGAAAATATTTGCCAACCTTTGGCATAGAGGTTATAAGCATAATGATAAATGTTGATAGTTTCTCAGCTCTTACTGTTTTGGAAAGTGTTCTAAACATGTCACACATATTAATTTGTTTAGTCTTCACAATAATTCTATGAAGTGGCTACTATTTATGGTAGTTAGTCTCAAAGATGGCCTAGTGAGCCACATCTCCTGAGATTCAGAGCCCTGGGTAGTCCCCTGCACCTTGAGTCTGGCACAGTCTGTGCCTTGTGCTGACTAATAGGATTGCAGTAGAGTGCCAGGCCTAGCCTATAAGAGGACTGGTAACTTCTGCTTCCTCCCTCTGGAAACACTTTGGGGAACACTGAGATGGTACATAAGAGACCACACGCAGAACAGAAGTGGAGGCTACAGGCAAAGGAGGATCTGGACTGTCAGGAAAGGGAAAGGGGCCTAGAGGCCCAGTCTAAGTCCAGCCTCCAGATGACCCCCAACTAGACCCCAAGTAAGACTTAGCAGAACTACTGGGCTAAGCCCAGTCAACTCACAGACTGTGAGAGACAATCAAGCAGTAGTTTGGTAGGGGTGGTTTTATGAAACAATAGCTAACTGGGACGTGACCACTACTAGGACTATCCCAGGTCTACCTGACTGCAAAGCCTTTGTCTCTCCACCCAATCTTATCCAGTGGTTTGCTCCCCTGTGTGAACATTAAAATCCCCTGAGGAACTGTTACAAACACCAGTTAAGTCAGAGAACCTGGGAATGGGGGCCTGGAGTAAAAATTTTTTTAATCCCCCAGGATTTAAGAAACATGGCTCCACCCACTATTTACAAAACTTGCCTAAAGATGAGAAATGCCTGGCACACTTACTTAAAAAACAGATTCCTACACTCCAACAGATATACTGATTCAGAATTTTTATGGGAAGGGCCTGGTAATCCATAGCATTAAGATGTTCCTCCGGATGAATCAACGGTTAGCACAGAAAGGACAAGAGGAGAGCCCAGCTCTCAGGTATGGAGACTGTTTGGCAGTTTCCTACCAAGTTAAACACACACTTACCAAACAACCTGGCAATCTCCCTGTTGGGTATTCCCACCAGAGATAAGTGCTTATGTCCACCAAAAGGCACACACCAGGATGTTCATATCAGCTTTATTCATAATGGCCTGTCTTAGTCTGTTTTGTGCTGCTGTAACAGAATGCCTGACACTGGGTAATTTATAAAGAACAGAAATGTATTGGCTCATGGTTCTGGAGGCTGGGAAGTCCAAGATTGAGGGGCAGCATCTGATGAGGGTTTTCTTGCTGTGTCATAACATGGCAGAAGGCATCACATGGGGAGAGAGGCAGAGAAGGGGGCCAAACTCATCCTTTTATCATGAATCCATTCCATGATAACTAATCTCATCTCCAGATAATGGCACTAATACATTCCTGAGAACAGAACCCTCGTGACCTAATCACCTCTTAAAGGTTCCACCTCTCAACACTACTGCACTGGGGATTAGGTGTCCAATGCATGAACTTTTGGGGACATATTCAAACCATAGTATGGCCCCGAACTAGAGACACCCCAAATGGCCATCCACAGGAGCATGGATAGATAATTTGTAGTATATCTACACAATGGACTATGAGGCAGCAATGAAAAGAATGAAGTGCTGATACGCATAGTATCAGTGTGGATGGATGAAATTCACAGACATACTGTTGAATGAGAAAAGCCAGACTGCAGATTCCACTTACATAAAGTTCAAGGACAGACAAGACTACACACAGTGATGGAGATCAAAATACTGGTTTTTCGTGTGTGAGTGTGTATGTGCGTGTGCATGCACACACACTTGTAAATTCTGTTCCCTTACACGATGCAAGGAAGACTTCCCAGGAAGGCAGTCAGAGCCACAGAGCAACACTTACCTGCATTTGAGGTCCAGCTGAGAGGACGTTTCTTGCTTGTTTGTTTATTTGCTTACTTGAGATATATATTATACATTGAGATGTACACAGATCTGAGGTGTACAGCCCATTGAATGTTTACATGTTTACATTGAATATTGAACGGTTCTAAGCTCCTGGAAAGGAAAACCAAGTTTGTAAGGTATAGATCCTACCTGTGTTTATTTTATAACCTGGTGGGGGAGATGCTACAATAGTAGGTGAAACAGTACGTTCTCATCCCTTCACTTGTCAGGTGTTTTTTGAGCAACTGCTCGATGCCAGGCACTGAACCAAGCCCCAGCCCTGCCTTCAGGGTGCTCACAGTCTAGTCAAGTGTTGGAGAGCAGTACAATGAATGGTTAAATCCACCTATTCCACCTCCTTCATGTTTTCCAAATTCATTCCCTCATCTCCCACTGACCCTGTTCTAGTTCAGGACTCTATCTTCTCTATGCTCTGGGCTATCGTAGTTTCCTGATTGATCATGTTTCCAGTCTTCTGCTTCTGATTCATCCTCCAGACCAACAGCCCCTACGTAAGTGTTCAGCCTGAAAAATTCAAAGCTGATGACTCCCTGCTGCCCAGGCAGCTCTGGTCCAGCCTGTGTGGAATTGAATCTCACTTATAGTGTCCATAATTGTGGCTACAGGCAAGTTCCTGATAGCTGATTCATTCTCCAGACCAACAGCCCCTACGTAAGTGTTCAGCCTGAAAAATTCAAAGCTGATGACTCCCTTCTGATTCATCCTCCAGACCAACAGCCCCTACGTAAGTGTTCAGCCTGAAAAATTCAAAGCTGATGACTCCCTGCTGCCCAGGCAGCTCTGGTCCAGCCTGTGTGGAATTGAATCTCACTTATAGTGTCCATAATTGTGGCTACAGGCAAGTTCCTGATATGTCCTGGGCCTCATATGTGTCTTCTATAAATGGAGATGAAATAATATTAACAACAAGCTATCTCCCTGATGAGAGTGAGCTTGTACCATCTGCTCGTCTTCCCAACGCTGCTCGCCGCTCTTACTCCTGACTCTCTGCATCACCCAGTCATTCTGAGGTGCTTCTGTTCATTGATACTCCCTTTGCCTTCAAGGCCCTGAGCCTCTACTCTTGGTGCTCCTGTCTGGAATGCCTTTACCTCCAGCTTCTCCTGGCTGGGCCTTAGTCAGCTCCAGATTTGACCCAGGCACTGCCTCCTCCAGGAACTTCGCTAAAGCTGCCTACGGGATTGGTTGCCCAGAATGAACATCTCTATTTGCCTCCTGTTTCTAGTGTCTTCACTTGTTTGAGTGGGCAGGCAGCTTCTGAATCACTAAATCAAACTCTTCCTTATAATGCGCGCTCCACCCGCCCCCGCCCCCCACCGTGGACCCCCTCCAGGGCCGGTGCTGGATATATCTACTGACCTGAGCAGAACATGCCAAGTATTTTCTTAAAGGAGGTGGCATTTGAGTTGGCTTTGAGGCAACTCTTTAACCTTTAAAAAAATTATTTTAAAACAAGTCGTACATGCACGCAATACCAAATCCAAAAGGAACCAAAAGTCTTACAATGAAAATTAAAAGTAGGTCACCTCTCAATCACCCAGATACTCTCCCCAGAGGCCACCATTGGTATCTGTTTCTGAGTATTCTATGCAGGCAACAATTGTTAGTCCTCCTGCTCCCTACTTTATTTTGCAAAACTTTAAAGCAACAAAAAAGTTGCAAGAATAGTACAATAAACACCCTTTGCCTAGGTTCACCAATTAACCTTTTGCCACATTTTGCTAAATATTTTATAAGCATTATATCATCTGCTGCTCACAACAAATGTACAATCATGCCAGTTTTGTAGATGAGGACACTGAGGCACCAGGCAGGTTAAGGGACTTGCCCAAGGCCTCAGGGCTAGTGAGGGGTGGAGCTGGGCTTTTCCCCCTTAGGCTGCCCTGGGATTTTGATCTGCCTTCCTTCAGTTCCATTTGGAGGAAAGCATTTTCTCACGCTAAGTTGAAGTCCACCTCCCTGGGATATTCACCAGATGATCAGTGGAAAAGTACACAGCTCTGGAAGCATTTGTTATTTCCCCTCCTAAAACCTTCTCATTCCCTAAGTAACAGCTGCTGTCGCTGCCCCTGCTACATGCTTCAATGTCACCTCCTATGTGAAGGCTGAGTTACTCACCCCCCTTTTTAAAAACTCATGATGACTCCCGACTGCCAGCAGGGTGACATTTGCATTCCTCAGCTTGGAATCCAAGGCCCTGGGTGATTCAGCCCTCATGGAACCCCTTTAACCTCATTCTTCTTGCTCCTTCCCCTACTCCCCAGCCACACTCAACCTCTCACAGTCCTCTTAAAGCCCCCCTGATCCTTGAAGCCTCCCTAATTTTCCCACAGAGCACATTTCCCTCCTCTCTGGACTCCTGCAACCTTCTGCCTGTGCCTTTGAAGCCTTCTGCAGGTTGTCTTTTGGCCAGGACACTGGACAGTGGGGGACTGGGGTGACAGCTCGGCCCCTTTCCAGCAGAGTGACCCTGCACAAATTACTTCAGGTGTCTGAGCCTTAATTTCCTCAAGCACATAGTGGGGGAGAGAATGCCTAGCTCAGTACCTGCAGAGTCAGCTTTCACTCATCTCCCGTAATAGAACTGACCGTTCTTCAAGGCTGCTGACAGCTTCTCCCAATCAGCCCTTGAAACACGACCTCCTATTACTTAACTTCTCTGCGCCTCAGTTTCCTCCCATGCAAACGGGAACGAAAACCGAGAGGCTGTGGAACTTCCACGAATGCCTATGGAAACCCTCGGAATACTACTGCAGCCCTCATTAATAACTACGACTGCCACGACCAGGCCTGGCGCACAGTAGGTGCTAAACGAATCGCTCCGAGGTGGGCTTGAGGAAGACCCCCGGAGAGGGCGTGCAGCATGGGCGCGGGAAGGCGAGCCTGAAGCCGGGGGTCCGCCCAGAGCGGCCGGAGGCGGGCCCCGCCCTTCCCCCCGCAGGTCCCCCGCCCCCCGGCCTGCAGCTGACAGGCCCGCCGGCCTGGGCGCCAGTCCACCAAACCTGAACGTCCCATCCCGTCGCCCCCACCTTCCCCGGCCTGCACAAGTTACCTTGAGCCGGCGGCCCTCGGTCCCGCCCCCGGCCGCCATTGGGCCCGGGGCTGTTGCACCGTACATCCG